GGTGGGGGAGTGGGCCTGGAGGAGAACATGTAGAAACTCAGCTCATGACAGCCGAACTACTTCTTGTATCCTTCCTGGCTGCTGGGGAATAGCTAGGGCCAAACGAAATTGGAGGGTGTGTTCTCCCAGAAATTTTCTGGCACTTTATTCTACTTATAACACAACATTAACATTACAGTTTGGCTAGTGTGAATATTTTCTCCTAGCTGAATTTTTGGATGTGCATGAAAATGTTTTGAACTAAAACAAATGTAAAAAGGACTCCTGCGAGAACAACATGGGAAACCCTTCCCTTTTTCTACCTCCTGTTCTTGCCTCTCTGGTGGCTTTATCAGACATTCAGAGGATAGCAAGAAATGCAGAAAGAATTGCCCTTTCTTCCTTGTGTGTTGGGACAATCTCTTTCCTGGTCCTTTAGCTTTTCTATACATTTGCCTTGCAGAAGTTCACAGTAGGCAGCCTAGCCAATTCTTGTAGGTGTAAGAAAAGAAAAATCTTTGAAAAAGCACAAGCCGGAAGATGATAACCACTTGAGGAAATGGTCCATAAGCGGTGGACACGTGAGAGCTTTAGAAACAGAAAAACTTACCAGAATCCCACCCACTCCCAAGAGTACCAGCGCACAGGCACACGTGTGGCAGTGGGATGACAACAGATGGGCACAGTTCAACATCCTTAAGACCGTATACTTGACCCTCCAACAAAGTCCCTGAAGCAATGTTACACATCATGGCTGCCAGTTAGGTTGCTAACCAAGTTAGTTTAAAAGCCTGAAGTGTGAATTCCAGCGCTACCTTCAGCCAACCCTTCTAGCTCACTTAGAACCTGCCTTATAAAATGTCTTGTGAATTACGAAGAGGCCTCTCCTCCTGCCCTTCCCGGAAGCAGAGAGCTATTTAACCTGCAGATGTAGGTAACGTTACCTGCCTGCCTCCCTCCCCAGCTGCAATGAGAACAGAGCTCTCCGAGGGAGAACTGGAGCAGTATGTGTGTCTTCATGGCGGTCAGACATCCAGGGCAGGAATTCATTCAACAACCGAATCTCCTTGCAGGAATATTTCCTTAGATTCCTGAACTGTTTTCCTTTGCACCCACCAAAAAGGAGCAATTTGGAAAGCAGGGCATGTAGAGTAGTCACCGATGTAAATACTTAAGATTTGCAGACAGAACAAACCTGCTGCCAGTGGGGAAGACAGAGCACTGAGAGGTATTCACGGCAGTTCCTTCCCCTCACTGATGCAGTGTAACTCTACAGCCAAGCACACTAGAGACATTCCAGCCTGCATGGTAAAGCAACAAGGAACACATTTTACAGTAACGTTATCAATCAAATCTAAACCCTTCACGAGAAGATTGGTTTCTGAAAAGTGGATGGTGTTACTCGCTGAACTGCTAGGAAAATGGCTTCTTATCTAGTAAAAACTAACTGAATGCTTATGGTAAAGTCCTTTAAAACCTTTCAGACATTTATTTGAAAAGGAACTATAATGAAATGCAGATGCTGTATCTTTTTGTTTCCTTTTTTTAAAAGTACTCCCTTATCTTTGTAAGGAAGAGCAGTCATAGGGAAAACAGAATAAATGCTGTAAAAGAGATAGCCTTTCTGCATCTCATCATCTGTCTGCGCGGTATCGGAGTGAGGAAATACACTTCTTGTATATAGGAGAAATATAGAGCAAATGCTTCAGCCATCACCATTCCTTAGACCTTGCTCAACAGCTGACCAGGATACTACTGCGAAGCCTGCCCTACAAGAAACGTAAGTCTGTTGGTACTGCTTGCAGGCCATGTTCAAAACTAGTCACAAATCCCGTAGGTTATAAAGCAGAGCTTGTATTCATTGCCTCAGACTGCATTTAGTGTCACCAGGAGTATACATTTGTTCAAAATCAGCTTGTCATGAGTGCTGATCACAGTGGCGTACTGATAACAGAGCAAAAGTGGTAAAAGTCCTCTATTATTGATATAAGAGAAGAAAAAGGCAGAGAAACCACGTTTCATGCCAGTCTGAGTACCCGAGTTCCCATAGTTCTCTCCCTTACAGAGCTTTAACCAAAGGAATGAAGAGTCCAATCCTTGTTTTCCAGTGCAGACCAGTTGCACGCACGCGCCCACACTCAGGCAAGCTCAGCCTGCAGCACAATCAGGACCAGCCCGACCCCTTCCCCGGGCAGCTCGGGAGCAGTACGTACAGCCCCTGCTGCGGGGAGAGCGGGTGAAGGCAGCTTTACTGGAGCCAGGCTGGTTCTTCAGCCTCCAGAGCGCGCCGCCGCCGCCGAACAGGCTTCACGACACCCGGGCTCCGTACAAGGTCCGCGGGAGGTGCGCGGCTGCTGGAGGCTGGGATCCCAGCACCTGGGCCCACCGGGGGCAGGGAAGGTCAGCAGCGCTGACACACCCGCATGCAGAGGCGATTCTAGAGGCAAGCGAAGAGCAGAGCTGAAGGGACTCAAGCAGGGGATGTTCCGGCTTTTGGAGGGGACTGGCACGGAGGGGAATCACGTTTTGTAGACAGTCTCCCCCGATTTTCCGCACAGACATTCCTCACATAGAACGCCTGAGCAAAACCACAGTACGGCCAGTAAAATAACTCTTCCTGCCTAATGGCAAGAAATCTATTTACATTTTCAAGCTTTAAATCCCTCAAAGAGCTAAATCCTTACACTTCCACTCCAATACCAGAACAAGCAGCCTGTAAACGCTAGGTCCCTCCTCCACAAGTGAAAGGTGCTCAGACATGACACACAGCTCACACATAACAGCTTATAACACAACTTTTATTAGAAAAGTTATACATAACAGCATCAACTATTTTCAAGAATATTAACCTTGAAAAGCAACAAAAACAGACTAAAAATGTGTAACAAGAAACTAATGACCTTTTCTATAATTAAACATTCAAGTTATCTACAATGTCTCTTTTTACAAAGGGGAAAACCATGGTTTTGCAGGCACATCATGTTGAAAATAAAGCTGCAGTAACTTTATACAATTAACTTTTCCAAAGATTATTAAAACATGGTCATCATGTAGCCTCAGATTTTTTTAAACATTCACATAATTTTACAGTTGAGTATACGCTGAAATTTCAGAGTCCCAAAATTCTTTCACAAAAGTGCCAACATTAAAACCAGAACCTTCAGTGTGAATAATTTTGCCCTAAAAAAAGTTAAGACAGGTTTCCATAATCAACATATTCACATAATTTCTGGTGCTACCCGGTCTAACAGTAAAGCTTCATTCTTTATAAGTAAAAATCAAATGGGACTTATTTTGCAAAACTGGTAAAATGTTCTGAACATGGGAGTGTGCATTATTGGAAAAATTGATACTAAAACCATAAATATATCCAAAGAGCCATTAATACACTACAGAATTAAGTGGAACTGTGCCCGTTTGTACTGTATATTCAAGTTTATTGCCCTTCCAGTACAGGTGGTATCTGAATTTAGCATCTTTACAAAGGCAATCTGTTCAACTTCTCTTAATCTTATCTTCATATGCCTGCTTAATAAAAATCAGATAATTTACAATCTATAAGTCTGTTTTAAAAAGTCTGGAGTTTATATACAGCTCTAACAAGCCTAACGCATTTTGATATCTTAAAGGTTTAAATGAAATGACTAGAGGTCTTATTTGACGCTTATTAACAGTAATTAGCCATTATCAGTAGTGGACCATAATGAGGTGGTAAGTGAAAAGGAATGTTTCGTCTAAAATGCTTAACACATGTTCCGTCCTTTCATGTATGCAACAGAATCACGTAGAGGAAGTGCTTTCCACAGACACCCGTTTCCCCTTTGCATCAAGGGCTACAAAAATCTGACTGCAAAAACGCAGTGACAAAGCAAGCTGACGTAGCAGGCACTGCCTTTCATACTGGCAGCTTTAAGAGACCCGCGGTCGTTAGAGGTGGTGCTTGGAGAGAGGGTTCAGGGGTGTACTTGGTAGAGCAGGGTTGATGGACTCGATCTCAAAGGTCTTTTCCAACCTGAATGATTCTATGATTCTATGGTATGCACAAAGATCTAGAGAAGGGGAAAAACCCCCACTACTATGAGAAGCAGACCGAACATTTTAGACAAGTTTGGCAAAGTTTTTAATCAGACAATAGGCTGGCCATTCAGGTTTACTCGTGTAGGTTAAAAATACCACTATTGAATCACCTAGTCAAATTATCGTAAGACATTTTCATTGATACTCAACATTACATGCACCAATATTGCACACATCTGCTCCGAGTTGTTAAAACAATCTTCATCTGGGTCCTTGAGCTGTCTGGTTTTTGCAGCTGGAACTCAAGCCACCCACCCCAGCAGTTTCACTAAAAATTGAAGTGGTAAATTTAAAATACAAAAAACCAAAATAACCCCAAAAGAAAACCAAAGACTTTATACAGACAATAAAATCTAAACTTTCTGCAATGGTCTTGTGGGCCCTACAGATGGGGCAATACACGTATGCACTAGTGAAACGAACACTAGCTCTGCTGTACCTAACCATTCAAATAATATGAAATCTGGGACCAGGCGTTGCAATGATGTCACTGTAAGGCTCCTCCTGTGTCAGCTCTATAGCTTGCTGTTTTTTAAGTACCAGGAAACTGTAGAATTTTGCAGCTGCTTGTTTTCTATTTGTATTTCTGCACAGCTCAAGCAAGCTGATAGATTCTGCTCCGGTCTTAGCAAGAGCTCTCTGAAAAACACAAACAAACAGACACCACAAATTAAATAGAGAACTATGTACAAACAAGAATGTCCGTCAGCGAGATTCTGTCTGTTGTCACCCGCAGGACACTGCGAGGGGCTGGGAAGGACTTGACGTTGGTGGGGACATCACAACACCTACATGAAAACTTCTGTATGTATCTTATCTGAGTGAAACCACTTAGGCTTCCACGAGATGTGTGAAAAATCAACCTCGACTGTTGAACTTGTTCCAGAAACACTGTAGTATAGCACAAGATTTTCTTTCTGCACCAATAGCTAGCCAGTCTTTTTTCGACTACAGGACAAATATTTTTAGATAGGAATAAATAAAAACCTATTCTCAAAATAAAATCCAATAAGAATAACTCCCGAAAGACTCATGATCTATTGTTTAAAATAAAATTTCAAGAGCTACGGTTCTTTAAAAGAGCGGTAATTTTCCCAAGGTGAAAGCCTCTTTATTTCTAAAACTCCTCCGTTTGTCTGAAACTAAGTACCCAGAGTCACTTACTTTTTTTCAGTCTTGGCCAGAACATAAAAAAATTCAGGAAAATACATCTGTTTGCTGGCTAGAACAACTACTGACGTCTTCAATTTAAAACAGAACCGTCTGCTCTGGAGTATCTACTAGATGAAAAGATATTAGGCTGGCCAAACCAAATTACTTTATATTAAACAGATCTTAACTTCGAATCTCATTACAGACTTAGCGTTTCAGCCATCCAGTGTGATGCTCTTCAGGGCACACGGAAGAAAGAATTGGAATAAAAAGCTAGAAATGGTCCAAAGAGAATTCTGAAGCTCTTTCAGAAATTGTGATGAAACATTCAGAGAGGAAAACATTACACAACATCACTGACTAAACAGCTGTATACTTTATAAAAATTACTTTTAAGCAACAGTTGTACTGGTTCGGGCTGGGACAGAGTTACTTTTCCTCACACGGCGCTATGTTTCAGATGGGAGCAAATGTTTTGTTTTGGAGCAAGGAGGCTGGGGGTGCACCAGAAGCTGGGAGGGGACACAGCTGGGACAGCTGACCCCACTGACTGAAAGGATATCCCATACCATATGCGGTCATGCTCAGCATGTAAAACTGGGGGAAAGAAGAAGGGGGGGTGCGCGCATTCAGGGCGATGGCGTTTGTCTTCCCCGGTACCCGTTACACCCTGCGCAGCCCGGCTCTCCCGGGCACGGCTGAGCGCCTGCCTGCTGCTGGGAGCAGGGAATGAATTCCTTGTTCTGTTCTGTCCGCGCCTGCAGCTTTTGCTTTGCCTATTAAACCGTCTTTATCTCAACCCACACCTTTTCTAAGCTTTCACTTTTCTGGTTCTCTCCTTCATCCCACCAGGGGTTAGTGAGCAAGCAGCTGTGTGGGGCTGAGCCGATAACCAGTTTAAACAATCTTACCTGAACTAGCAGAATCCTTGCAGGTGTGCAAAAGAACTGACTTAAATCACATTAGTTTACAATGTAATCTGAACTATAAATTTAAGTGTCATAAAGGCTATTTAGGAGTTTAAAATTAAGGTTTCATTGCTTAGAGATGTAAACAAGTAATTCTTAAAACTCTAGTAAGACTTTCCAGAAATGTAAAGCTATTGCTTGATTACATCAGTTTTGAGAAACTCAACAGAATACAAAATGATACTAAATCTGGGTTTACTGAAAATTCAGCAGCATTCTCTTCCCACTCCAAATCTACTATACTGGAAGTTCAGAGACACAATAATCACAAGAAGGTTTGATCAACAGAGATGGAGCTTATCAGTTTTCACAAAAAACTGAGGATGACTTTGGGGAAAAAAAAAATAACAGCTCAGAGATGAAACTGAAACACTTAAGCGACAGCAGAATCTCACGAGTTGCCAAAATGTTCAAGGGAACAAAGGGGTAGGAACCACAAACTAGACTGAAAGGCAAAGGTAGCCCACAAACACATGAAGTACACATGGACATCTACATGCAAACAGGCAGCAGTCTGCACCGCAGTTCAAGCGTGTACCAGGGGTGTTCAATTATCTCATCAGAAAAAAGCTCTTCTCGTTCCAGCAAGCAAGAATCCATCCTACACAGACTGTCTGTTTGTGCAGACTGAAGCCACATGCTGAAAAGTAATGCTGCACCTCGGCCAAGGTCAGATTCCCACAGTTGTTACTAGATCCACTTTATCACTGCATGGAAGTTTTCCAACTAGCCGGGAATAAAACATCCTGTAAAACGGTTTTATCCCTCGACCTTGACGGGGTTTGCCTAGGCTCACATAGGACAAAGTCACAGGTGCTAAGGTTTCATTAAAAACATAATCAAACCAAATTATTTTAAAATTTGAGTTTCTGGGAGTCTTACTTGCCATAAAGGTTGAAAAACACTTAAGTGAAAAATTTCACTTCAAATGTTCTTTGCAAAAAAAAGTGACAACTATATTATGATTTGATCAATCACAGTATTTTTTTCCTCTAAGACAGAACTGATACTTTAAGGCTGTAACATCTACTGCAGAGAAAGCCTTCTTAACCCTTTAACTCAGGTGAAAAGTGTCAGTGGGCACACTCAAAAGCTGCTCTAAGAGAAAACAAATTATCAGGTGTACCTGAAGCCCATGAAGCATTTGTTGAGTCCTCTTGTTCCATCTCCTTTCTTCTTGATCCTGATCACCCCCTGTGCCATCTTCTTCCTACACGCAGCCAAAATTCATACAGTTACAAAACAATGAACTTTTCTTCCACTGAGTTATGAGATGAAGGAGGCATGTCTAAGTATCAGTCAGCTTTCTCTTTTCATCAAGCCAGACGGTTTAGACAACTTGAGCCACAGGATCCATCCAGGAGGCACAAGTGGGATGGAGGAAGATACACACATCAGCTGATGTACCGCAGGAAGGTTGCCTGCCACTATGATAATACCTCAAAACGTTACGCTGACAATTAGTAAAACAAAGAAGTTCAGCCATAACAGCTGAATGAGAAGAGACACTTTGGTCTAATCTAGGATTCCTAGAGTAGTGAGCATGTTATCAACAATGCTTTTATGCTGAAACATTATTGAACACACACCTGCTCCCATTTCACTGGGGAAACAGGACAATTGAGAAGGAAAACTGCCAAAAGCCGCAAAGGCTGGCTGTAACGACTCAGCTCCCTGTGTCCTATGAAGCACTCACCTACACAGAACAGTACCTGCTTATGGAACATGTGTTATATGTGGCTCTTAAAATAAGAACTTTATTTCAAATCGGCAATTAAAAAAAAATCACCACAAAAGCAACACATGCAAGCAGTATCTGCTTTGTTTCCAGTCTTAACTCAAGAACCTCAAAAGGTGCAGAGAAACTGCTTGGCAAATTTTTTTATTTCTCAAAATTAAATCAGCGTTTATTTCTCCCTCTTTATTGTACTACTTTCAAAGTAACATTTCTCTGGATCCAGCAACAACCCGAAGTGGTCAGGCAGCTGGACTAGATGATCGTTGTAGGTCCCTTCTAACTGTACATGCTCTATTCTAACGGCTTTTTGCATTGCTAGGGAAATCATCTTGACTTAAGTAATCCACATTTCTTTATACATATGACTTGTTACAGAAAGAAACGTCACATGTCCAGGTACATTGTTTTTCCAACAATAAAAACATTTTTTAAAAAAACTGGTTTAATATCATGTATTTTGGGTGCAAAATAAAAAGAATCAATGGAGTTTGAAAGGGAGATGAAAAACTCAATGTGAGCCAGCAATGTGCACTCACAGCCCAGAAAGCCCATCGCATCCTGGGCTGCAACAAGATAAGTGTGGCCAGCAGGACGAGGGAGGAGATTCTCCCCCTCTGCTCTGCTCTGGTGAGACCCCACCTGCAGTGCTGCGTCCAGCTCTGGGGCCCTCAGCACAAGAAAAGACATGGAGCTGCTTGAGCAGGTCCAGAGGAGGCCATGAAGATGACCAGGAGGCTGGAGCACCTCCCCTATGAGGACAGGCTGAGAGAGCTGGGATTGTTCAGCCTGCAGAAGAGAAGGCTCTGGGGAGACCTTCTAGCAGCCTCCCAGTGCTTAAAGGGGCCTACAGGAAAGACGGGGAGGGACTCTTGATCAGGGAGGGTAGTGATAGGATGAGGGGTAATGGTTTCAACCTGAAAAAGGGGAGACTGAGATCAGATATTAGGAAGAAATTCTTCACTGTGAGGATGGTGAGGCACTGGAAGAGGTTGCCCAGAGAAGCTGTGGCTGCCCCCTCCCTGGCAGTGTTCAAGGCCAGGTTGGATGGGGCTTTGAGCAACCTGGTCTGGTGGAAGGTGTCCCTGCCCGTGGCAGGGGGGTTGGAACTAGATGGTCTTCAAGGTCCCTTCCAACCCACACCATATGATTCATGATATCCACAGAGTATTAAATATTGTAGATAACAAGCAATTTCAGTTATCACACTTTAGGACATGAACAGTTTTCTTACAAAAATCTACTTTTAAGTGGTATGAACTATTTAAAAATGGAACCATAAAATTAAGTTCAAAACTTCTTGTATAAGGCATCACGGAGTGGTTTAATCCAACCATGTGTGAGAACAGGGGAACCCTCCAACTCAAAGCAGAACATGTATGCAATTTATAAAATGGAATAATACAAATAAAGTGGTCATGGAATAATTTCAAAATCTACATTTCCAAGTAAGGACTGAAGATTTATTTCTTACGCCATTTAATGAATCTAAAGTCAAACAGTGCTGGGGAACACAAAACCCCTTTCTATATAGGATCTTACCTCCTCCTCTTCCTCCTCCTCTTTCTCCTTTTCCTTCTCCTTCTCTTTTTCTGGCAGAAGTTCTAGCTCTGGTATTAGCTGGCAGATGTTTTGGGGCTCCTCTGGAGGCATTTCTACAGGTGGTATTTCCAGCTGTTGTGACGGTGGATGCTGTACGAGTACACAATACAGATAAACAGACAGCATCATTTTATCAGTGCTTTCACTGTAGAATGCTGATGCTACAAACCAGTTTCACAAAGTCCAAGTCTGTAAACCTTAGCCAACCGTCAAGTTTTTCATTTTCGGAATATGAAAAGCAATTTGTTTTGCTGTCCATACATACATTTTTAATCCTTCAGATTCTACTCAAATCAGAAATTATGATACCACTATAAGGAAAAAAGCTTTCCAGTAACTTCACTTAGTCCACCACCCAAATTACTGATCTCATTTCTTGGATCAGCACATACAACTTTAAAATCCCACATAACGGGATGCAATGCTACACGAACACACTTTAATTCAACGGAACAAGACATCTTCAAAATATCAAAATGCTGTTCTTTGCAATACAAGCATGAAGGAATTAAAACATCGGTACTTTGCAGTTTCCAAAAACATATGAGTGACTGATGCTCAAGCATCATTCTCAGAAGATACATTTATATCAAGAGGAAAATCCACAAAAGCAGTTTAACAGGATTTATGCAGTTAGTTTTAATAAAATTAATATACACTGTTCTCCCCCTGAATCTACACACAGTTAAGTGTTTGCCAGGAAAGCTACCTTGACATCTGAAACTGTACACATACCCTAAACCAGCTGAAAATAACTTCTGGTTTAGAGTCATACAGCGTGTACTGCTATAGGTACGTGGCTAGAGGCCTGATCAGGTTGGTGTGATCAAACAATTCCCAACACACACTAATAGCACTGACTTCAGCACAAAGTACAGTTGATGCCAATTTCACCCGACGACATGGCCAAGAGGAGCAGCAGCTGCCACCCTTTTTTAATAAGCTCATGTAACATCTAACAGTCTCTACAGCAAACAACCTGTTAGCCAAGATGTGAAAAGTGGGGCAATAAACGCACAAATATGAGAAAGACAGCATAAACCAGGACTGTTCTCACCAGGTAAGCATTCAGCAAAAGAATACGCCTTTCATTTTGCCCATTTCCTCACCCCTTCACATCACAACCTTTAGAGAAGGGGCAGATACGACCTAGTTTCCAAGTCTACTCACAAGCTGACTAGGAAATCTTTCCTAAAGATCAAAGTTTTTCTTTGAACCTTTAACTCTGGAACACCAGGACTATCGTAAAAAGGAAGTTTGTACAGCTAGCACAATCCTTTCTTCATCCAAGCTGTTCATATACACTTGCCAACCAGAAGAACTTAGCTTTGTAAGCAACACATTTACTGCTTGACAACTTCTACTGGGGGAAACACTGCTGTTTCTTTATCCTACCTGCATTTTAAATGTTTCAGTGAGCCTTCCACTTAAAAACACCATAAAGACTACCCAGGGACAAAAATTCTGTTACTACTCACCCCACCACAGAAAGCCAGTGCCTTAGAAATGTGTCACTTCCTGCTCAAAGACACCACCCACTCCTCATGCTCAAAACCAAACTCACTCACTCCTACTCACAGGTAACACTGGCTCTGGTTCTACTTGCTGCAGTTTGCGTTTTACACCTGTCTGAGGTGGTGGGGGTGGCATAACGGATTCATCCAGGTTGGTTCTGCTGCCTTCCATCATCGATTCTTGTAAACGACTTGGTTCTTCCAGAATAGGTTCATCTATATTTCACAACAAACAGAGTTTTAGATACTTTGGTAGTGTCAAATTACATTACAAATTAAATCCAATCTCCTATTAAGATAGAATTGAGCACTCTTAACAGCCTGCACAGCTTTTGCAGTGACTTAAAACAGAATTGGTACAGATATGCATCCAATACCCATTTAATCCACTGGATCAAACTGAATCTCCAAGGGTCTTCTAAGAAAAAAAAGCTATTTTAAGTCATAGACTGTGTATCAAGCTAAATAACCATTACAAAGCTCTTTGCTTCATTCATAATCTTTTGTGACTTAACATAAAGCACAAACAAAAGATACAAGTAAGCTCCAAGGGAAAGCAGAGCATCTTTGACAAGACACAGACCAATGACATCTCGTTGCTGCTGTTGCTGTTGTTGCTGCTGCTCCTCTCTAGGAACCTCTGGGTTTTCAAAGTCCTTAAGGAACTCATCAAGGTTGTCAGCTTCTCCACCTTTCCTCCTCTTTCTTAGGTCTTCTGGTACCAGGGGTGTAAGACAGCGAGTAAAGAGCTACAGGGGAAAGGTTACATTATTCACTATCGTAGTTCTCAGTGTCCTTAATTTTATTTTGGACCAAGTAATTATGGGCCATCTTCCTTCCTCATTTTTTAAGCTCCTCTTCAACCGCAATAACATTAAAAAAATCATTTGTTTCTGCAACTGGTAAATATTTTAGGCATTGGTGTTATCTTAGTTGTTTTAATGAGTTGGGGTTTTTTTAAATGATGAATACTGCTATCACTATATCACTCTTCATATGCAGACGGTTACTGTAAGGCACAACCCTCAATATAGTCCATTTAGAAATGAATCTGCTCGAAAACATTACCTTCAGCAGCCTGTTATTCCACAAAGGCTGTGCAGGCAGAGAGAAAAGCTTTTCAACTCCGCCTGTTTCTTTCCACATCATCAGTTTCTTGGTAGGAGGTGCCAAGTCCAAAGTAGTAACAATATCAGAGTAGTCACTTAATTGGGCTCGAATAGTCTTGCTATCCAGTTCTTTCACACTGTCCACAATCAGCTTTCTCTTCCTCTTTGCTTTGGTTTCCTTGACTGTTGAGATTTTTAGCAAGTAATGAAAGTTAGCTCAGATACCACACTGTAGAAGAACCCTGCAAGTCTTCTAGGTCTTATTTGCCCACATATAAAGCTGTCTCAAGAATCTAAGACAATGTTAGCTTTAGGAGAAAAAATGAAAAGCTACAAGCACTACGAAAAGGTCAAACACTACGAATGCTGCTCCACAACCTACAAATTCTTTTGTGTATACTCTGAAGTTGTACTGAATCTACCTAAGCCTCAAATGTCCTCAACTACACATGCTTCCCTCTCTCATGGCTTGCTTGTCAGGCTAGTGTTCTTCAGGAGCAAACCCCTGAGCTGTAAGTTCCCTCTGACCAAAGAGTCAAAATACAAGACCAAGTTTTTCCCCTAAGCCCTGTCTGAGCTTTGGTAGTGTTAGTGTGGGTGGTTATCTTACCTGTACCTCTCATCCTGCTCTAGAATGACTTTACTGTAAACTGCTTACAGCCTGGCACTCTGCAGCAGACCCTGAAGCTCTGGCAAACGCTGTCTTTGCTGGTCCCAGCCGATCAGCTAGGACCTCTGTTGCTAGCTCGCCACCAGAGGGCAGCGCTAGGGCTTTTCAATTGGCCAAGCCGTAAATCAGGGCCTGGAGTTCAGTCTGAAAATATAGGACAAACTACAATTTTTCCAGATCTTAGTTTTTTTAAATAAAGCAGGGATCTGTTTATAATGAGCCACTTAAAATAAGAAAGCGTCTTGCATTAAAGAAAAAGACAAGGAATTTCACTATTTAGTAGAACTTCAAATACAAACATGCATCTCCTGAATTCAGCAATTCATTAAAGCTATGAATCACTAGAAGAGCACTTATTCTCAGTGTAAAGAGTCCCTTCTGGTCATCCAACATAGCATATCGAGAACCATGCTGCGCTATGGATACTGTATTAGCATTAAAGACGTGATGAGTTTATTCCAACTCACTGTACTTTGACTAGCATGTTTACCAAAAGCTACATGATCACGTCGCTATACACGCTGACTGCAGAACTACAGACTAGTATCCTCCAAGACCATCACCACCGTAAGCCACCTACCTGGGAAGTACCGGAAGGCTACTGTTAGAATAAAAGGAATTCAGCACTTGGTCTGTGATTTCTTTTCCAACTGAGAAGTAAAGCCAGCAGCAGCGCTAGACATTCATTTGCATTCCATTAGCTAAGGTGGTCTCTGACGACCCAAGTCAAACACGCCCAAAAAGCTTACTCACCAGTTATGTCAATAGGCTCCAGAGCAAAAGCTTCCTCTTCATTGGGAACAAGCGTTGTCTGATCGGTCATAGTTGGCAACGGTTCAACTGGATCTACCGAGTCTGGGCTGTCTGGTCCACCCACTGCCAATTAGAACAAGTATCTTGCACCGTGTCAAAACGTTAAGAAACTGTGCTACCCTTCCCCTTCTCCACACCTTACAGTGGTTTACCGCATTTCATACTTTTGAGCTCAACATGCTTTTAAAGAATTAGAATCCAAATTAAATTAGTTGAAAACACGTAATTCTACATCTGGCCCTAGATCATACTCACTTGATACATTATCATCATCATCCATATCATCATGGGGAGGTTGCTCTGGCATCATTACTCCACTTTCTGAGAGTGCAGGTGGGTCATCAAAAATACCACCATCGTTATTACTGAGAAGTTTGTCATCTGAAACAACCATAAAAGAGAATCGGTTTTGCATCCACAAATTCATGGAAGTATATACAATTTATAAAGAAGTACACACAAATTTATGACAACACAGACAAAGATAGTGCAAAGGTCAGAGAAACCTACACTTTCAATGCTGACACAAAAGCCATTAGGAGTGCTTTTTCAAGGTGCATTTCAGCTCAAAATTTGAGCTTACAGATAATCTTTATTACAATACACTTGCCACATATTTGCATCTTACTAGGCTTCTTAGTACTTCAGAGAGAAGCACTCCATTCTCAACATAATAATTAAACCCTTGGAAGGAATCAAAGAACAAGAAGAGTTACATATTGATTTTTCTCTAAAGAACATTATGTATAGAATGGAAAAACTCCAAATGATTTAATTTTACTCCACTTGAAATATGCCAACTCTTAACAAGCTACGCATCACCTATATTGCTGTAGCACTAAACCAGAATTCCACTGCTGGAGACATAACTTAGAGAGGAACAAAGGAAACAGCCTCCTCCCCGTTCCCCCAGAACTAATTACTGAGGCAGAATGTAGGACAGAAGAAAAACAAATTTCTCAAACATACCCAATATTCCACCATCATTTCCTTCTCCAAAATTATCGTCTTTGTATTGGTCTTCATATTCCAGGTGATTAGATTTCTCATTGAGGTGACTGGTGCTCTGTTCAGGTTCCAGTAGGAGATTAGAAGCACTGGTGCTCACAAGCATGTCATCCTCAAACGCACTACCTTCTCTCATCATCTCACGATCATCCATCCCAAAGTCACCTGCCAAGAATACAATCTCACTGCCATAAATGCTAAAGAACCAAGATGCAAGAGATCTAGCTAATCAGCAAAGGCCCAAATGTAAGACCAAACTTCATTTCAACTTATCTTAACTGCAGAGCAAATGACAATATGTAAGGAACTATGCCCAGCAATAGCATAGCGAAAATACTGTTCAAACAATTACAAAAATAACCCATCTCTTCAAAGGAGTTATTATATTTATTTGAATTGGTTTTAAAAAGATCCTACTAAATTTCAGCTGCACTGAAACCAAAGAATTCCAAGGAATTCAAAAAAGTTGTACCTTATGCCTCAAGGCTGAGCTTCAGGTACAAAGTGCAAACCAACACCAAAACACCACCACCATCGATACCTAGATTATACTTTCAAAAAGATTACTAAATTATGGATTACATTATTGTACCCTGGAAACTAGATATTCAAATACAACTGTCTTCAGGCTTTGACATATATCTTAGAATGCTGTCCTTGAAAAGATACTGAAAAAAGTAAACTAGTCACCACTGAACGCTTCAGCTTTGGAAATCTCCTAACAGTCTCTGACCGAAAACATGCATATGATTAAAGCAACAGCTGACTTTATATCCACACAATGTTTTGAAAATTATAATTGGAATTTGAAAATTATAACTGACATAGTACTTCAATAATTAACCTGACTTAATATTCTTCAGCTTTATATAGGCAGCTAAAGCTTTCTGAATAGTAGAGGACAGGCTTTTTGGAAAAACTGACATGTACAAACTAAAAATTAAGATGTACAGAAAGACAGCATGTTTGATCTGATTCGTTTTGTACCTAGTGGGAATTCCGTAGTAATTGCAAAACCTTTACAGTTACCAAAACCAGCTTAGTAACACATAATAACACATGCAATTTTTTACCAAAGTCATTATCCTGGAGGATACTGATGTTGCCTACTTCTTCTCTCATTGTAATTTCTTCCACTCTACTCTGGTTCAAACTGAACTGCTGGGCCACATCAATATCACTTAAACAAACAGAAGGCAATTATTAAAAACCTCAATTTAAAACAAAAAACAGATAAAACCTGCTTAGATAAATGTGATATTAGTTCCTAAAGAGTACACTATACACTTAAGTCAACTAACAAAAAAAGCTGATGGTGAATACAGAATCGAAAACGCTACTCAAAGCAGGAAGACCATTCATGGTTAAAATCTATCATTCAAATTGTGTTAGCTTCTGGGAAATGTATCAGCAACCTCTCTTACTCCTTGCTATGTTGGGGTCACTAATTTTAAAGGCCAGATTAATAAGTAAGAAAAAACTTCCCACCCCATCAACTTCAAAAACTATTAATATATCAAAAAGTGTATCTAATAACAGTACCAAGTTAACACTTTGTGATGTGTTATGGTACATTTCTTAGAACAATATGGAATTTTTAATGCAGTTTCAAATCAGTATATACTCTAATTTGAATATAAACCAAATAAAACACTGAGTAAAGCAAACAGTAACCAGAAATTCCATTATGAGTAATCCAAAATCTTTTTTAAAGATCAAGAATTATTCAAGTTGTATACTTGTTATCATGTTTACAAGTTATCATGTTTACATTAGCATTAAAAGTTTTAAGAATTAAAAGTGCCGCTACAGAAGGTGAACAAGAACATTGCCGTAAAACTAATCTTGTCTAACCTGAGAACATGCGATGTAGAGTGCCTTGCATAGAAGAAAAAAGAAAATAATACATATCTCAGTTTTTCAAAAGCTTCTGCAAGGACAGCTTTAATTTAAGTTAAAATTACATGCTACTATGAACTTAAAATCAATACAAAGATGATTGTATACTTGTTGGTGTATTAAAAGACTTAAGAACACAAGTTAACTACAGACTACTTTTTTTTTAATTGGGCAATAAGTTTGCTGTTTAAAACCAGGTTCTCCTCAACTAAAACCAAACATCATTTGCATGGAAATGAAAAAACCAAACCAAGCTTACTCTAGATCAGGAAGTGGTTGGTCAAAATCATGAAATTCCTCAGGTAAGGTAATAGCATTGTAAGCAGCCTCTCTGTTTTCCTCAGGCAAATCGACAACCCCTGCAGAGAAGAACACTCAGACATGAGTTCCCATTCCTTACAAGGACAGCATTTTTCCCTGTGCCTCCAGCATTGTTCTCTCTGCAGAGCTTCTTGTCTTTAAATTGCTGAATCAAACCAATGCTAGACACCTAAGAAGAAACCTTAGATAATGTTAGTATTGAGATTCAGTCTAAATTCAAAATATATACCCTCAAGCCCTTGTACTGCTCTGTATAACCCTGGAAGCCTCAAATCACTCGATAATGTTTATGCAGCCCAGTGCAGAGCTGTGCAGTCAAGACGTGTTGAGTAGCACCACTATGCAGTTACCTGCTAAAAAACAATCCTTTTATCATGATGCTCCAGCTGAGTTAGTCCTATATTTTGGTTGGGGTAAAGCAGCAGCAACATGGCAGCCTGGTTTGAGTAGAACAGCGGCAACACTGAATGACTACTTGGCTACCGGTCATTCGGTCAGTTCAATCAGCTCTGAAAGTCCCAGCACAGTATTGACTGTACTTGGGTCACACAAACTCTCAGGCTTCTGCATTTAAGAGCCGGATTACCTAAACCACATCCATACCTTTTCTTATCCTCCTGAGACGCTTAATCTGCTATTCAGTGGGCATCCTCAGAGCATGACTATCAGGTTAGGCATCACATAAAAACAGTGCCAGCAGCTGGTGCCTCTCTTTTATTCAAAGGCTTTAGAGGTCAGGACACTTGAAGGCACATGGGAAATGCAGGTTCAACTCCTGCTCTGACTTGCAGAAGATCTGAGCTCTACGTTCTGCCTTCTGACCCATACAACACAGGCAATTCTGAGGTACAGCTACTTCAGAAACACTCTGTCCACTGTGTTCCACTCTGCAATGGATAATCAAAGAACCACTGTCGAGAGAGACCAGGAACAAGTACAAGTCTGTAGTTTACTCATCTTGGTACTTGGCTGGGAATGAAGAAACCTAGTCCGTCCTTTCAGGGCTATCCAATATTTTACCTGTTGGCTGCTTAAAATAAAACATGTAAATGATTCCCAGAGCAGACAGGATCAAGACAATGCCTAAGCCACAAAGCTGATAAACTGAGAACAAAGTGCTTCAACTTGTTTCAAGTCAGCATACCACTTTCATAAATCTTGTTCTAAGGTGCTTCAGCTTCTATGTGAGACCTGTCGGATGTGGGAAAATGGGGAAAATGGATTGCCTTGTGCAATTAGACAAATTTATGTGTTCTCACCACCCACAGAAGTTAAATGCAATAGTAAACAAAAAACTGACAACAGTCAACAAATTGCCACTGAAAGCTACAATGTGAAGATCAAGAAATGAAGATAAAGGCATTATACACCTTAACTTTTCTCAAATTTACTGTTGTGCTGGCTTTCAACAGTTGCCTTTTAAAAAAAGTCTTCCTTAAGTTCAGCTTTTAAATCTATTACAATCACAAACTTAAAAAGGTAGAATATGATTCAGCAGCTTTGAATATCCAGCAGCATCACTGCCACAGCTACACTCCAGCTGGAAAAAAGCTTCCCAGGCCAGAATTAAAGGAAACTATCAACCGTGTGTAAGCCAAGTAATTAACTGCTGGATGGAAAGTCATTTCAGGTATTAATATGGCTCCACATCTTCACAGAAAATCTTAAGAGTAAGCAACAAGAGGGGGAATTTGTGTTGCACATACAAAAGTGAAAGTATCTTTGTTGCAGACATTACAGTTCACATTATTTCCATAAACTAAAATGTGAAAGTGGTAAAAGACCAGCTTGCTTTACATTTCTTTTGCAACTCATGGCAAGGCAATCTTTAACCTTGATGGAAACAACCTCCCTTCTGTGCTTCTCCTCGGTACATTCAACTGGCCTTTTTCAGACTTGTGACAGAAGGTAAAAACCATGCAGTGTATTTCCATTTAACACTATACACCAACAACAGCCAAAATCATCATTGAGATTTTACTGAACGAGCACTAATAGGAAAAGTTTTTGTTCAGAATTCAGTGGAAAGATGTTTTTCAGCATATAACTCAGTCACACAGCCAGCCTGAAGCTGCAAGAAAGAAAATAACTTCTCCTATAATCCTGCATAACTTTACGAAATTTTTCTACAGAGACAGGAAGGCAGAATTGTACACCTTCTTAATAAATACCATCATATAACAACATTAACTTTTCAGAGAGTGCTCAAAGACAGATACCTGGACGAAAAGCCATCTTAATCTTAATGAAAGCCTCATTACAGTCTGCAAGAAGATATTTTGCTTTCCTGTGGTAGATTCTAACAACGCCTAGTAAGAGGTGTCCTGAGGTTCGAAGTGCCATCTTCACCTAAAAATATATTGCACAATCAGTGAATTAGAAGTAGCCTTTTTTCCTTTAATGACATTTCAGGAAGCTTTGCATGAGTTTTTCAATAACATCAAATATCTAAAACAAGTATAAAAAACATCAGAGAACTGAAGAAAGAACAAAAGCAAGTCTACAGTTCAAGATAATAGTCTACATATTGTTTACGGATGACCTGGCAACTATCAGCACACCTAATAGCAGCTCACTCCAGGAATTCCCAAACACTGCTCTGTCTAGTAAAAAAAATAAATTAAAAAAATGACAAGACAAAATCCATTTTACCACATCTTTTTCTGACATCTTTCTTACTTTAGTTGTGAAAAAAGTGAAAAATACAAAAAACTGGACAGCCATAAATTACGATTTGGTTAAGTAAAATTTGGTTAAAAACTCTTACTTGTACCTCTCAATCTTCTGTCCTGCAGTTAAGGAGAAAATCAGAGAGAAATAATGGAAGAAGTGGGGTGTCCACAAACAAGCACTGCCACCTTAAAACAAGTTTAAGTTCCTTTCCTCTTTAACCTCACTGCTTCACTATGTAATCAAGTGTCTGCTGTGGGAACAGAAAACTGATAAAAAAAAATCCAGGGAAGGGCTCTTCTTAAGTGCTTTGGTCTGAAAGAACACGAGACTTGTGTCGAAGGGTACATGGAATAATTGTCTCCCAAAAAGATTGAGCCATACAGGGTTTAACTTCAAACTCTAAGAACTCAAAATTTTTATTACATACATCTTTCTAATATTCCAGCTGATGAAAGTGCCACACAAAGCTAAATATATGAAAGAGTGCCTATCAATTTCTCCCTTTTCTAAAAGAATGCTGCAGCTTGCTAGCGAGGACACGAACATTATCATCTTCTTTCTAAATCCCTCCAGAGCTGACACTGAAGCAAATCACTGTTCTGGCATAGTAAGTATCTCTGACTGTATTATACGTTTTTTGCTTATACTTAGCAGTTCTTCCGAAATTCAGAGTAGCATTACAGAAATAGTTATATTTGTATCAACCAAAAGAAAAGATAAGTTTTATTTCTTTTCCAAACAGTTGCTTTTCTTATAAGACATTCAGACATCTGTTAAGTGACAGAAGTCACAATCGTGTCAGTCCACTAGTTCTTAAATGGAAAATTTCATTTTCATGAGTAGTAGAGGGGAAAAAAAAAAACAACAACATTTAAAACCCCAACATCCTCAAAATTTCCTCTGGTTTCACAACAACCATTCAGAAGTGCTACGTTCTTTCAGTTTTGTTGCTATCTATTCACTCCCCAGAAAACAAGAGACTAAAAACTTCAAAAGCAAGGCTTTTAGAGTACAGTGTAGTATTATTATTATATGGAAAACTATGCTCATGTAACCGGCAGCATCACAAGCTACCAAGATACTTCAGACCTTTTTGCTGTAACTAAGCAGAAATATGCTTTGAACTTTGGTCACGATCACAAACGAGAATCACAGAATGGTTTGGGTTAGAAGGGACCTTAAAGATCCCCTAGTTCCGGCCCCCCTGCCACAGGCAGGGACACCTTCCACCAGATCAAGTTGCTCAAAGCCCCATCCAACCCGGCCTTGAACACTGCCACGGAGGGGGCATCACATCTTAAGTATTATTTCTACAGCTCACAGTAAGAAGAGCACTGAAAGACTATCATCATAAGGCCTTTAAAAGTTACTTCTTAGAAAGCCCAGGCCTTCCCCTCTGCCAAATATTTGCTTCTGAATGATACAAGGTACATATCAAGATACAAGTTCCCCATTTATACAAAGCAAAACATTCAGTAACTAAATTGCATTAGAAAATTGACAAGAAAATACCCATCAGAACCAAAGAGCCAAGAGAGCATTCCACATCTGAACAGATCTCTCCATCCTTTAAAACAGCAACATTAAGAACTGTATTTGTTTCAGTGACCCAAATAGTAACTATCACCTGTACAATTTCTTTTCACTACAAGATAATATTACACCAGTGTAAAACAGATACCTTTGGTGAAATGATACTCTCCACGCTGCTCTCCAGATTACATTCAAACACATGGGCTTTGGTTAGCTTCTTATCCCAGTGGGCCGCCAGCCAGATTTTGGCCAGCGGCCCACGCTTGCTCAGGACAAAGTGGGCATAGAACATGGTCCCAGATATCTAAAACAAAGTGCAAACCTGTAAAGAGAAAGGCAAACTTATTCTTTTCTAGAAATTTTTTTTTATGAAGAACATCCTTGCAAACACACCCTTTACCCGCAGTAAGCAAAGCGCATGTTTGTTTTTCCATCACTAAGGTCAGACTATTTGTATAAAATATTTAGGGAGCCAACACTTACAAGTGGTGGCCATGTAACAGCATATATATTTGTTGCAGAGGAAATATAAAGCAGGAAGAGCAACGGCCATTTACATAATTTAAAAATGTTTACCATCCCGCAAGAAAAAAAACAATTTAATATATTAAACTTTATGGTAATGATACTGAACTCCTATAATGCAAACAAACATGTCTCAGTTTTCAGTCCACAGTAGTTTTCTATGACTGCCATTTCTTTCTACTCTTACTTCAGTAGCTACTACTCTACCAGTACATGTTCTGCATTGTTTCAGTAACACAGTCAGCATTACAAAATACAGTCCTAAACTTCTTTGGACTTCTTAAACATAAAGGAGAGTTATGTCTTCATTTCTGAACAGACTGCTCTCTTTCATAATCCTCTTTGTAGTGCTTCATATTTTTTATTTAAGCACTAATAAAAATGGTAAGAAAACTGACTGCATTGTTCCAAACTTCCTGAAGATTTCATTTTTTTCTTTCTCCTTCACCAGAAAGAACATACTTCCTTTTATCTACTTATCTAGTAACTACCTTCTTACAGCTGACATCAACATATTAAACCATGAGGAAGCAGAACAGCACATCTTATGATGTAAACATGCCAATTTCATGCATGAGGTAAGCATACGATTCAATTCAACTACAAGCTGAGGAAAAGTTTGCTTTAAAGAGGTGGAAGATTCTCCACAATCAGTTTTTTCTCCAGCAATATCCGTAACAAACCGGACAGATGCAACAAGTGCATTTCAGTTTTAACATTCTCCATGCCTACAGAAAAAACTGCCAGAGGAAGCGCAGCAACCTAACAGTGAAAGCAGGGCAGTTTAATCTGGGCAGCAGTGTGAGGAGAATCAGTTTCTAGCCATAAAAACCCCCAGTATTTCCCAAACGTATGTCAGCACAACTTACAAGCAAACAGGGGACACAGGGAAACACAAAGCATTGGTAAACATGACAGCCAGAGACAGTTTCCCAGGAAGCCAACTCCTAAACTATACCAATTTACTTGCAGGTAAAAGAAACAAGTTTCAAAGCAGCTAGGGTAGAGCTGCTGATATTTACAGGGTATGCTTACAAAAAAAAAACCCAACCCAAACAGCGCAATTGTGACTGCTAGAAAAATAAGTACAGGGGCAAGAGAAGCACTGGCATTACTGGTTCAGTGGAAGCAAAGCCGACCACTAGATATCCGGATAACAAATGAAAAACTGTAGATCTAGGGGTAGATCTCTGAAAGTAAAGGCAAATAATACTATTTTTGCCTTTTTTTTTTTTTTTTTTTGGAGGGGGGTGTGTGTATGTGTTTGGTTTTAATAAATGGGATTTGAAGTAATATAAAGGATAGGAAAAGTTATCTTTGTAGTAGTAACATACTCTACTTGTACCCACCCACAGGTATCCTTCAACATGTAAGATGATGAAAGCTTTGAATTTCAGCTGCATTAAACAGAGAACAGAGTTGTTTGGACAACAGAACCGATTATCAAGCTTATCTGTCTTAATGACAGACTGGTCACTGATTCTGTTCATAACCAAGAATGGACACAGTGGAGAGGATTTAAAGGAAATAAAGGCCACGTTCAGTTTCAGCTCCAGTTAACACAGTAGATAGAAAGGATTAAAACTGCTCTTAGGAGTGAAGTTGATAGCTTTGAGTTACAACAAAGCTGCGGATTAACAAAAAGTTAAAATGTCATTTTTATTTGTGAGATTGTGTGGGGGCCAAGGACAGCACTGCACAGAGATGGACACGAGCAAGCTTTTTTAGGAAGCATAAGAAAACAATTTTGGAAGTCTCCTTGATCAATAAAAGCTACCTAAAGGAAGGTATTCTGCTTCACCTCCCCACCTTCTACAGTGTTTTCTGAAAGACAGCACACTGTCTCAAGGGCCAGCAGACATTTCAATCCCTTGTACATTTTCAAAAGCCTCGTGGTATTTTTGTATATGCAGAGACCTAACTTAGCATGCACAGCATTTTGGTATCTTGAGCTGCTACCACAACCATGCACTGCTCTGGTAACAGCAGGCCTGTAAATTACCCTGAAATGAGGAACAGGGGAAAACACAAACATACAGTTAACAAAACCACTTGTATTACTCCACTAAAAACTTCCAACAACAGTTGTGAAAGAATGTACTTTGATTCATAGACTTTGGCGCAATTATTCACCAACGTTTTACTATCATTAAGATACATAGCACAGGCTTCACAGAACTTCAAACATACAAGTTAACTGCAACCCTGAAAATATACTGAAGATTTCCTGTTAAATGTGAAACCATTTGGACAACTCAGAAGCAAGTTACCACTTTAAATCCCAGACAGCAAGGGTAGTGCAAGTGTGAGACGAACAACTATCTAAGATATCTAAGAGGAAGCAAGGTTCCCCAAACACCTGAGGTGTCAGGATCACACCAAGGCTAACGATTTCACAAGTTTGGGGTTTTTTAATAAAAAAAGCACATCATTAACTTCTTTCTGTCTTTTAAAGAACAGGCAATTCAAGTCAAAGTACTCCACATAAGGGGGCTTAACATATGTGAATGGGTTTCAAAACATCTGCTTCGTTCGCAATTAAATCAAAGAATAGAGACTGAAAACCACTGCAGCAAGGGAAGGCACAGAAACATAAGTGGCCACCTGCATTGGTGGTGTTTCCTAGGTTTGACGACCACTCAGTACTGGGGTTATATATCAAACCTAAAACTTGCTTGTAAGACTAATGAAACAATTATACTATATGTGCAGGGTACTTAAACGTTGGAGTGAATAAGAACAAAAAATAAATAGCTTCTGACAGAGGTTGTCTGTTTCTCTTCATCCATTAATGATGCCACAGCAAAATACATGAAGAGAAACAGTGACAATCAGACAGCTTTGAAGTGTATTTTAATCTGAACTGTTAGTCTTTGTCACTTCCAAATTCCAGCAGATGCTCTGCTCTGTATGGTAACACCTGGGTTACAGCAACTGTACAAATCCCACCTTTACAGTTCTGACCCGCAGCCGTTCAGCTGCTGTTCAGCTGCTCTTGTTTACAGCGTCAGCACAATTCCTTGAAGCAGGCCACAGTGGTTGCTCTCACTTTCTCTTCCAGATTTTTTTCTTTCTTTTCAGATATTCCTTTTCCTTATACCAGGCTTTTTGTCTGATCTTTAATTCATAGGGCAGTATGCTGATGCAGTGGCATAAAAGGAGAATAAATAGATTTTCTGGCATAATTTGAGACTGGGATGAATGTTAAAGGAACTAAGAGTTTCCTGCAGTGGCAGAGTGCTCAGGCAGACACATAAAACATATGCTGTTGGCTGCAAGAGCAACTGGTAAGAATCCTCAAACGAAAAAGGGTAGCTGATGGCTCTTAAAAAGTTTGTAAGGTAAATTATAAATGTTAATTTTTTTAAATTGACTGGATATGAACCAGGACCTTAAAACTTGTTCAAAAAACTTACTTATTTTTCCATCTTGCTTGCACTGCTCTGAGGAAAAATAATACGTACTCACACAAGACCAGGTCGGATCAAATCCTGATCTTGCCAAATTGTGCTTTTAAAAAAAACTTTAAATTTTATTTTAATTAACTTAAATTTACTTCAATATTGCACAATTGTCTTCAGGTTCCTCTGCTTAAATTGGTCCTCAACAATTGCATAATCTTATTTTAGTATTTTTTTCTTTCTATAGAAGTGTAAAAAAAAAGGTTATAATTCTATACACAAAGTAACTGAACACATAAAGCAAAACTAACACAATACAGATAGTACACAGGGTTTGATCCAGAATCTGTCTGTTTCATTCTCTTATCTGAGTATCTGGTAATTGAGCCTCCTGAAGAAGCAACAAGAGAATAGGATAGATGCTATATATGAACCTCATCTTAACCATCAATTCACAAATATTAAGTCTTAAAATCCTTCTGCATATTAGAATGGCTAACTAGCTAAACTCTGAAAAGCATTCTCATGTAGCTTCAGTTCCAACCTTCAAGACGTTCAGAAAGAAGTTTAATGAACTAACAGTTGACAATAATACTGCAGACAACAGTTACAATAATCACCATATTTTATTTTGCCCGCAGTTCACTCTAGCCCATTAAATCCACTTGCCTGTTACTCTGCTAGGTCAGCTCATAGGTTAAGTTCAGTCTTTAGTTTGTTTTATGTCACCTACTTTCGTTCCTCTTGTAAGGCTGCTCCAGAACCACATTCATCCACTGATCAGCAGACAACTTTCATACTACAGTTAAAACGACTGGCTGATTTTTAAATTCATTTGTTTTTACGCTATCCTTCAATCTCTCTTCTCAGCTGGTTCTCCCCTACACAAATATTTCCTTTCTATGCTGTCCCTGTCCGTTTGCTAAGCCAAGTCAGCCCTGGATGATCTGGGGAAGAGTGAGCTCACCCTGTGCACCTGCAGCAGTCCAAGCTGGCCCTGCCAGACTTCAGAAGTCCAGAAGGATTACCCTGACCCCGCAACTGTACTTTAGTTCTTAAAATTTAACTCCTAATCCTTCACTATACAGGCCTTCTTACACGTCCAAAACTTCCCTGGTGTGGGACTCACTTAACGCTGTCTCACTAGTAGGTTTCATTAGCACACTGAACATTTGGTTGGTCAGCCACTGAAAAAAAAAAAAATTCATCACAGGACCAGTCTTCACAAACTCCACTAACATCTCCTTACAGCTCAATGCCTCTTTTCAGCACTCCCTTATTTCATCTCCTTCCTTCAAGCACCTTCATAATTCTCTGGTTAATCCATGGTTTTCTGAATTTTAAGACACTGCTTTGCGGCACCTGCAACTTTACTGAAGTTCAGTGACATGTCACCTCAA